ATTACACTGAAAATCATCTGATTTCTACCCAGTGTTTTTAAACAGGTAAAAATACTATTCCTGAAATTGTCTAGTTTGTGGCTGTGCATCCCATGGTCCTCACACCTCCAAGCTGTGACTCTCCAGAGCAGTTCTGTTAAAAACATGTATGTTTGCCTTTGCCTGTGCATTGAAAGTCATCTGCTTGAGCTATGCTTGTCATTTGTAAGGTAAGATGTTGAATCAGTTTGGGGATGGGTGAAAGAAGACATCATGCACATCTTCCTTCCGTGCCTCTCCTGATACCCCAGGAGTGCTCTGAGTTGGTGTTACTGCTTCTTGGTTTCTGTCGCTGCCTGCTACCTTAAAAGGAAGGCATTTGTTCACTGAAGTGGTGCATAAGGTCCTGCCTTAGGAATGGGGCAAAGTGTTGTAATGATATATATGTAAATAATAAAGACACAAACTTTGTTGCTGAGAGGAAAAGTAAGGAATTGAGTGCAAAGAGGTAAGGAATTGAGTGCAAAGGGTTGCTTGTTAGTACAGGAGTCTCATCTTAGGAGAGTCAGGACTATACTATAAATTCAGATCTCTCTTGCTGCTTTGTAAATGTCCTTGGTGTTAAAAATGGAAAGCTTGACAGTATTTTGGGGTCTTACGCAGGGCTTTGAATTCCTACCTTGATTGCTGTATAGCATGACTCCTCAGCAAGTCACTGAGCTCTACAGCAAATTGGTTTGAACAGCTACCGCATCTTCACTCATTAAAAAGAAAACTGTATGTAGCAAATGTCAATGTAAACTTCTGTTTCAATTTTGAAAAGTAATCAGATCATCTTCTTCAAATTTAGTTTCAGAGGAGCTTTGCTAAGATAAGTGTGGTGTTCCTATCGTGAATTATGTTCTCCCCTTCTATACATTGCCTCTGTGAGATCAGAAGTCTCTTTCTTTGTTGGTCTCATGACTCATACTGCAGGTTGCAAACTTGCAAGTCAGATTTCTTTCTGGTTATCTTGTCGTCAGATTCAGATTTTCTTCAGGTAGAAGGCTTTGTTTCACTTGTTGTTTTGCTATGCTTAATACTTCAGCATCTCTGCTCTGATCATATTGTGATTATTAGATCCTAGATGTTACCCACTTTCAGTGCTTGTTATCATATTTGGCACATCTTCTTGGAAAAGACCCAAAACAAAATGAATGCACAGTCTGTAAGCAATAAGTAATTCACTTCTAGGAAAACACTTCCCTCCCTTAGTTTTTTTTGCACAATTTATTTCAATTAACATCTGCAAACCAATCCTCTCCTCCAACTCTGATCAAAGTCCTTTTCTATCTCTTCTTGGTAAGGTTTTCCTAATTGGAAGTCTAACATCCTGAAAGTCATCCAATTGTCCTTCCATGCCTTTGCTTTTTACATAAATTTAGATGTCAGCGAAGATTGTTTAATGAACTCTCTTTGGAGACTCAAAAACATTGCTGCCACTAATATCACCTTCAACTTATGCTCTTTTATTATGGAAAATGTCAGACTGTGACATTTTAAATCCCTACCTGTTTTCTCACTTCAGTCTTTTTTATTATTATTATTTCATTAATGTTGTAACAGAATTTTTTAGCACTATAATTTTGAAAACCTGGGTTCTATGATTTTTATATTCTAAATAAAATTGACTCTGAGTTTATGGAAGCTTTTTTTTTCCTAAATGTTCCAGGTATGTTTTGTGTTTTAAGATAATTTTATTTTAGAATTCAACCTACATTGGGAATTTAGTCTAATTCTTTAAAGCCAAAAAGGTTTAAACTTTCATGGCTGAATCATTCAATATAGGAAGAGCTGAAATAATTATGTTTCAAAATGTCAGCTCTCTTGATCATTTTTAAGATGTGTAAAGAAATAGTTAATACTATAAGTGTAGTAATTGAATCAGTGCAGCTAGTGTGGCTGATATTAATTCA